TCATGTTTGGAAATCTCCCTCACATCTTCAGTCATGAAGACCGATGCAAAGAATTCATTTAGTTTCTCCACAATGGCCTTATCATTCTTGAATGGTCCTTTAGCATCTTGATTGTCCAGTACCCCACTGGTTGTTTAGCAGGCTTCCTGCTTCTGATGTACTTAATTTTTTTTTTTTTGCTATTACTTTTTGAGTCTTTGACTAGTTGTTCTTCACATTCTTTTTTGGTCTTCCTAATTATATTTTTACACTACATTTGTCAGAGTTTATGCTTCTTTCTATTTTCCTCAATAGGATTTAACTTCCACTTTTTAAAGGATGCCTTTTTGTCTCTAACTACTTCTTTTATTTTGTTGTTTAGCCACGGTGGCACTTTTTGGTTCTCCTACTATGTTTTTAAATTTGGGGTATACATTTAAGTTGAGCCTCTATTATGGTGTCTTTAAAAAGTTTCCATACAGCTTGCAGGGATTTCACTTTTGGCACTGTACCTTTGCATTTCTGTTTCACTAACTTCCTCATTTTTGTGTAGTCCCCCTTTCTGAAATTGAATGCTACAATGTTGGGCTGCTGTGGTGTTTTCCCTACCACAGGGATGTTAAATTTAATTATATTATGGTCACTATTACTAAGCGGTCCAGCTTTAGTCGCCTCTTGGACCAGATTCTGCACTCCACTTAAAACTAAATCAAGAATTGCCTCTGCTCTTGTAGGTTCCAGGACTAGTTGCTCCAAGAAGCAATCATTTAAGGTGTCAAGAAACTTTATCTCTGCATCCCGTCCTGAGGTGACATGAACCCAGTCAATATGGGGATAGGTGAAATCCCCCATTATTATTGAGGTTTTTTTTATTTTTATAGCCTCTCCAATCTCCCTAAGCATTTCACATTCACTATCATCATCCTGGTCAGGTGGTCAGTAATATATCCATACTGTTATATTCTTATTATTAGAGCGTGGAATTACTATCCATAGAGATTCTATGGTACAGGTTGGTTCATTTAAGATTTTCACTTCATTTGATTCTATGTTTTCTTTCACATATAGTGCCATTCCCCCACCCCCACAGTTCTGTCCTTCTGATATATTTTGTACCCTAGTATTATTATATCCCATTGGCTATCCTCATTCCACCAAGTTTTTGTGATACCTATTATATCAATATCCTCAGACAATACAAGGCATTCTAGTTCATCCATCTTATTATTTAGACTTCTAGCACTTGTATATAAGCACTTTAAAAACTTGTCATTTTTTAGCAGTCTGCCATTATATGACATAATTGAATGGACTTCTTTTTCATATGACTGTTTCTTATCAAATCCTACCAGTATTTTATTATCTTCCATCCTCTCCTCCTTACTAGGACATAGAGAATCTCCATTAATAGATCTTCCCCTAAGAGATGTCTCTGTCCGAACCACATGCTCCTCCACATCTTTTGGCTTTTCCCCAGCTATTAGTTTAAAAACTGCTCTCCGACTTTTTTAATTTTAAGTGCCAGCAATCTGGTTCCATTTTAGTTTAGGTGGAGCCCATCCTTCCTGTATAGGAACTTTTGGGAAAGTTTCCCCAGTTCCTAATAAATCTAAATCCCTCCTCCCTACATCATCGTCTCATCCACGCATTGAGACCCTGCAGTTCTGCCTGTCTAACTGGCCCTGCACATGGAACTGGAAGCATTTCAGAGAATGCTACCATGGAGGTCCTGGACTTCAATCTCTTACCTAGCAGTGTAAATTTGGCCTTCAGGACCTCTCTCTTATCCTTCCCTATGTAGATACCAATGACATGTACCACAACCATGACTCCTCCCCAGCACTACACATAAGTCTATCTAGAGGTCTCGAGAGATCTGCAACCTTCACACCAGGCAGGCAAGTCACCATGAGGTTCTCCCAATCATAGCAACTGCAACCCTAACCCTAATGCTGTTGGTGAGTATGTGAACCGCTGCTCCCCTGATCTGATTCCAGAAGCCACAACATACATTGTAAATGTCTTGAAGCTCCAGGGTGTTGATATGACATGACACTTCCTGCTCCGACCTCAAACCCTGAAATTTTAATGCTCCTAGATCTGCTCCCCAATCTATTGTGCAGGTATAAGTGACTACAGTTCTGGACAAAGGAGGGCAGGCACAGGCAACACCCTTGTATACACTTTTCTGTTCTGCCCTCCATTGTAGAGAGTCCAAATTTTCTGGAGCCACTCATGCAAGCTTGTCCAATGACAGGCAACTCAGGCAATAGACCAACTTCTACCATGATTTAACAGACAAAGCCACAATCTTGCATGCTGAACCACATAAGTGCATGCAGCCATATGTCCTAGTAACTTCACGCATACACAGACCATGGTTGAAGGATGAGATTGGAGATCCAGGCAAAGGCACTGAATTATCTGGAATTGCTTGTGTGGTGGAAAGGCCCTCAAATCTGTAGAATCTAGTAGGGACCCTATGAATTCAATTTTTTGAGTTGGTGTCAATGTCAACTTTGCTTTGTTCAAAATCAACCTAGGTTGATGAAGAATGTTCAGTGTGAACTGGACAGGACTCATTCGTCTGATCTGCCAAATCATCTAGGTACAGGAAGACATGAATTTCCCTCTTTCTGAGAAAGGCCATTACCACCATCATGCTTTTGGTAAAGAAGCATGGAGCTGATAACAGGCCAAAGGAGAGAACTATGTACTGATAGTGTTGACTGGCAACAAAGAATCCCAGGAACTTCTGTGGCCTGGGAAGATCCCCACATGGAAGACTGAAAGTAACAATGTGGAAAGAATAGTAGACAGAATAACCATGCAGAATCTCATATACATGTGTTTGTTGAGATTGCAGAGATCGGGGATGGGTTTCACCCTTCTCTTTGACTTGGGAATCAGGAAATACAAAGAATAGATTCCCTTTCCCAGTGAAGAAGAGAAACTTCCTCTAAAGCTCCCAGAGCACACAAAGTCAGGACCTGTTGAAGAAATAATGGCTCATGAGAGAAGGCCCTGAAAAGAGATGGGATAGTGGAGTGGATAGGGGGATGCACCGAAATTGTATGATGTAATCCCACAATGCTTAGGACACATCTGTCCATAGTTATGGTTTCCCAAGCACTGTAGAAGCAAGGCAGCCTGTCCCCAAACTGAGGAGATGAAGTTGATATGTTCACAACTGGTTTGTTGTTCTCTATTTTAGAGTCCAGGGCAAGAGGAATATTTGATCCACAAAGTCCTGAGCTATAAACTTAACCGTGGCAGGCTCTGGTATCTTGTAGACAGGGATGGCTATGGTCCTGAGGAGTGCATCTGGAAACCTGTGGAAAATGTACAGTCCCCCAACCCCCGACACACACTTGTTGAAGCATTCCATAGGAATCACCCTGAAAAGCCCAGTCCCACATCACCCTCAGGGCACCCCTTGGGGAGGGGTGATGTCAGGGACTACAGGTCTACAAACCCTGATCTATAGGACTGTTAGGAGTTAGTAATTTCCAACCTGCCACTCAGGGACTGCCTAACAGTTGCCAGAATAGAAGTTGAACCCCAACAGAGCAGGAACAACCAAAATCCAGTCCAGTCCTAGAATCTGATTGGCAGAATGCTAGGGGTTCGAATGCTGTTTGGTTCACAGCTTCTATATAAATCCAGCACAGGAACAGGAATACATGCAACTGGGTTCTTCCTGCCTTGGACTGCTTCCCCTCTGATACCTACTCCTACTGAGTGCTGCTTATCTCCTGGAAACCTGACCCTACTTGGCTCTTGTCACCTGATTCTTGGCCTGTCTCAGACTCTGACGTCCAGGTATCTGACCCGGCCTGACTCGCAACTCCTCTAACCACTAGGTAAGATTGCCCATGTCCCAGTCATGACACATACTTAACTGCATAAAGGGTTCAGGATGCACCAAATCAAAGGAGACCCCGCTGCTTTTGTCTGTAGTACAGGTGGCCCAGCCAGAGAGACCACCCACAGAACCAGTGATCTAGCCCTGACTGAGTGGACAATCGGTACCTCAGAGAACAAGGAACCTCCCAGGGATTCCAAACAGGAAACCAACTGTAACCCAGAGGATATGAGATGGTGCTGATAACAGTGCTGACAATATAAGTCAAGACACTTAGGCTGTGATGAGACACCAAAGATGAAGCCACCGCAGTTGAATGTTATTGAATAAGTAAAATGAAAAGGAGTACTTGTGGCACCTTAGAGGCTCCTTTTCTTTTTGTGAATACAGACTAACACGGCTGCTACTCTGAAACCTGTCATTGAATAAGCAGTGAGTCAGGAATAGACAGGCACAGCAAGTCCACTGCTGCCTGATACAGTAGTAGTGTGGAGACAGAGTGCCAATACCAGTGTTGTCCATACTGGACTCAACAGATGCCCCACAGTGGTAACAGAGTCAACAGTATAGACTCTAATTGATCAGGCATTGGTCAGAGAGCAGTTTGATGGCCCAGCTCTATCTCACATGTTGGAAGATTCTACTAACTAAATTAAATCCAAAGGTATAACTAAACTTAATTATTTACAGAAAAAAAATCACAGAAACACTGTGATAAAGAACATTAGTGAGATACCACACTGAACGCTCTGACTCAAGCCGCAGGGAATGAGAAGGAACTGAAGGAGGTTGGGCTGGTGCCAGATTTGTAAAGCCATTGCGGCACCTTGGAGACTAACAAATTTATTTGAGCATAAGCTTTCGTGAGCTACAGCTTACTTCATAGGATGCACTGCATCCAATGAAGTGAGCTGTAGCTCACGAAAGCTTCTGCTCAGATAAATTTGTTAGTTTCTAAGGTGCCACAAGTCCTCCTTTTCTTTTTGCGGATACAGACTAACATGGCTGATACTCTGAAAACTGGTTTACCAGAAGATTGCATCACAGCAGATTGTTTTAAATCAGGATTAGATTCCACAGGAGGGGAGTCTATGGCATTTCTGTGAATTTAGAAATGTATATGAATGCATCCTTAATTTGTTAACTCGTTACGTACCAATGATGTTGTTCTGTTGTAACTGGATCTGTGCAAGAGCCTCTGCTTGTGGCAGACAGTCCAGATTGAATTGCTGATTTGTAAACAGATGCCTTTTTTTGTCTAATAATTCTTGTATTTCATTCTCTGTTGAGACAAAATAACTATTAGATGATTCACAAAGAAAATATTTAAACAATGTGTCATTCACTAAATTTAAAACATATATAACATGCAAAGAGGGAAAATTATACAAATGGTTACTACTTTACTATTCATCCCATATGTAACTTTTAAATTGATGCCATTTAATTCCACCTAGCATTTACATAGAACTTTTAAGGACTGAAAGGCAGCTATCTGTGGAGTGAAAAAAATAGCTTTTTCACAGCACACAGCAACATTACACTACATTTTCAGGCATATGGTGAAAAATAATGTATCAAACTGAGGCCTCATAGAAAATTTAAACAAAATGAAATTCCTGGAGATGGAATTTGGCCAGAACACTGGAATTAACAAATTCCAGTTCATATTTGATCACTAGTGTAGCCTAAAGATTAACCTGCTTGCTTGCATATATCTAGATCTATATCTATCTATCTATATATCTTTTCTTATAGTTTAAGTATTTGGTTTATTGTAATAGGTTTATAGATTTATATTAAAGTAATTTTGGCAGTAATGAAAAGGGACCTACAGGCCATATCCTGTATGTTAAGTTAAGGAAAAGTTAGCATATCTATATTAAGACTTTTACCTAGATAAGCACCCACACATATATCTAAGACTTTTTATCTAGACAGATAGACAATAAGGGGGTTTCCAAGTTGGTATCCACAGACTTAACAGGTACATCACAAGGAAAGAACATGTCATCGATATACACAAACATACAAGCCTATGGAGTAACTATAGCCTAAAATTTTGTGGGTGAGGAATGAAATTTGGGCATAGAAGGAAGGATTTCCGGCATTTGTGCCCTATGAAAGAGGTGACCCACCTCCCTAGAGTATTCTTCTTCACTCTGTACTCGCTCTCTATTTTCTACTCTATTCCTCTTCTATCTGTGCTATCTATCTATGACACTTCTAACTATTTGGAGGCCATACTCATTTTCTTTCAAACTTTAAGTTCCAAGGGGACTAGGCTAAGCTTGGTTTCCCTAAGCTTTTGTTCTTAGTTTTGTTTATTAGGTTTTGATTTTAAGTTTAAGTTAGTCAGGTAAACCCTATGTTAGCTTTGATAGCTCTTAGCATTAGCTTCTTTAAGCACTGCATCTCTCACTCAAGAATTGAGAAACCTGAACCGCGAGGCTGGTCCTGTGTCTCTTACCACCAGGTTATCAAGGAAGGGTGTGAGTATATTAACCAAAGCTTTGTAGCATATAATACTATATTACCATATGTATCTTTTGAATAGCAGTAATGCAATTGTAACTTTGTAACTCTGATTATTTTACCATTTAATTACTATTTCATTGATTTTAATAAAAAGTCTTTAAGGCTATATCTGTCTCAGTGTGATACCTGTCATACCCCCGAGAGTCCTTTGTAAATTCTGTGGAGCCTGATTCGGGATAAGAACTTTTATCTTCTGATCAAACAGATTGGCGAGCCTAAAACCCATACTATCCAAATTAATATTATTAACACCCTAAATCAGGCAACACTAGTTACATCATAATTTGAACTAGAACTTTATCTTAAGAATTCAAGAAAGCAGAGCAGATACACTAGCTACAGCATTGTTATGGGTCAGGCATGCCACTATCTTCCATTCAGAGAAGATGTAAAGAAGACATTGTAATCAGGTGGCTGAAACAACAGCAGTAGTACCCCAAAACATAGGCTTATAGAAAACTGAGTAGAAGTTGAAACATGTGGCAAGGGATTTCAAATGCAGACATTAAGACTTTGATTGATGGAACTGCATGCACACTGAAACACCCAGAAAAAGGAAAGGAAAGAGAGAGATAAGCAGATGGAAAGTTTAACACACACAGCCTCAACAAACTGGCTGAAAGAGTTTGGTGCTGAAAGCAAGGAAGCGTTCTCCTGTTTTTGGTTCCTCCTGTGATCAGAGAAGCAGGACTTTGAACATTCCTTATCAACAAACAAGACTGCATCAAAGAAATTACCAGAGTCCATCATCAATTTCTACTCCCAGCTAGAACAACCCTCAAGTCCCCAAACAGTTCTAGACACTTGAGTTAAAAAAGGAGTAACTGTTAACACTTGCCTGAAATATAATCAAAAGAGCCTGATTGGTCTTTAGGCTAGTGTTTGTAATGCCCTTTTATTTGTCATAATAGATTGTACATGTGTGTTTTTATGTGCTGTCTTTGTACATGTGAGTATAGGTGATTAAGACCCCCCAAAATAGCCCACCATTGTATTTCTCCAAAAATTACCATTTTATACAACATTATCTGAATAAAGCCTTATTCTAGTAATCCTCTACTTACCAGTGAGGTTATTTAAGCTTAATTGGAGTGGTGGTAGATTTGGCAGTGGGGACATACAGGGAAAAGCTGAAGGCAGATTTGCAAGCAGGAGACGTTTTCTTAATGCTATCTGTTCCATTTCATTTTCTGCAAAGATAAGATGATTTTAAACTTGACTAATGAAGTGATAAATTTTAAACTCTATCTGAGAGCCCAGTATATGAATGATATAAATCTGAAGTATTGTTTTTGCTATGTTTATCCCAGGATATTAGAGAGACAAGGTGAGTGAATATCTTTTACTGGACCAACTTCTGTTGATGAAAGAGACAAACTTTCCAGCTTACACAGAGCTCTTCTTCAGGTCGGAGAAAGATATTCAGTGTCACAGCTAAATAAAAGGTAAAACAGAATGCTCCGCACAAGGAGTAGGGCTGTCAATTAATTTCAATTAACTCAAGTGATTAACTCACAACAAATTAACGCAATTTAAAAAAATTAATCTCATATAATCACAATTTTAATTGCACCGTTAAACAATATAAATTAGCATTCTATTAAGTATTTTTGGATGTTTTTCTACATTTTCAAATATATTGATTTCAATTACAACACAGAATAGAAATTGTATAGTGCTCACTTTATATTATTATTTTTAATAAAAATATTTGCACTGTAAAAAAGATCAACAAAAGAAATAGTGTTTTTCAATTCACCTCATACAAGTACTGTAGTGCAATCTTTTTATTGTGAAAGTGCAATTTAGAAAGGTAGGGTTTTTCTGTTACATAACTGCACTCAAAAACAAAACAATATAAAACTTTAGATCCTACAAGTCCAGCCAGTCCTACTTTTTGTTCAGCCAATTGCTAAAACAAACAGATTTGTTTACATTTACAGGAGATAATTCTGCCCGCTTCTTATATATAATCTCCCCTGAACGTGAGAACAGGCATTCACATGGCACTGTTGTAGCCAGCATTGCAAGGTATTTATGTTCAAGAGATCCTAAACATTTCTTTGCTTTGGCCACCATTCCAGAGGAGATGCTTCCACGCTGATGACGCTCATTAAAACAATACTGCATTAATTAAATTTGTAACTGAACTCCTTGGGGGAGAATTGTATGTCTCCTGCTCTGTGGTTTTACCCAAATTCTATCATATATTTTGTGTTATGGCAGTCTTGGATGATGACCCAGCATACGTTGTTCGATTTAAGAACACTTTCACTGCAGATTTGACAAAACACAAAGAAGGTACTGTGACAGGGTTGGGCCAGATGGCTACAGGAAAGTGATCCTATTGGGATCTGCTAAAGGAGCCCCACCCCCAAGCCTAAGCGGGGGATCCACAGGACCTGGAAGCCAAGTGATTTCAGGGGACAACTAATAAAATAACAGGAACAGAAGTGCGGTCAAACAAAGGGAGCCTGATGGGGACACCGCACAGAGAACCCTGGACAGTGCCCACTGCTCCTCGAAGGTGTCATGGAGGATGGCCATGCAGTGCTGGGCCCTAGTACAGGGAAAGCGGGGCAAGAGGAATGCTCGAGCTCCGCTCCTTCCCACCGATGTGGAAGCCCCCTGGAAGACCAGGAAGGGGGGCACAGATGCTGGGCCTTCCGCCTTGCCCCCGGGTGAAATTTGTCCACCGGTACCAGCTGGGGAAGATGTGGCATCACCGACTGCTCCTCAACGGCGTCAAGGGAGTCAGTGGACTCCGCCCAGAGGAACTCTGCCCGGATACGTGAATGGACGGAAGATCAAAAATAGGCCCCACAGTCACAGGAGACTCCATCGGCTAACCTCCTCACCCTGGTTTTATGGATGGCCATTTTAGCCAGGACCAGGAGGTCCCGTGACTTTGTGGGGCAATGGATAGGGAGTGCATAAATAGAAAGGTGAGAGGAAAAGTGCAACCATAAGCATAACAAAATGTCTAAGAAGAGCCGGAATAGGGGCTGCAGCCTGGCGCACTCTAAGTAAATGTGCGCCAGGGTTTCCCTCATGCCACAAAAGGGGCAGGTGACTGGGATAGAGGTAAACCGTGCCAAGTACATGCCCATGCTCATGGCCCCATGAAGGAGCTGCCAACTTACATCCCTAAGGGCCTCAGGACCAGGGTGGAGTATAGGCTGACCCACCAGGGCTCCTCACCCTCTAGAGGTGGCAGGAGGTCCCGCCACTTTGTATCGGGGCAGGACGTGAGGGTGAGAACGTGAAGGGTGTAGAGCATGAGTGTGTATAGATGTTTCCTTGGCGTGGTCTGGAAATGGACCAGCTGCCGATCGTGCAGCTGGCTCATGGTGAAGGGGCGGGGGGGGGGGGGGGTTGGTCGCATCCACAGGGCAGGGGCCCGATGAAAAGATCCAGAGGGCCTGGGGTGGAGGTTGGGCAGGGTATGCCCTCTCTTAGGACTCGGTCGAGGTAAACCCGAGCAGTGGGCGGCAAATCAGCCCTCACCTCATGAAGTACATGCCGGGGAGTACAAGGTCTGGAGAGCCCCATGTGCTGAGCGAGCGTCAGAGGATCTAGCCAGTCTCCCCAGTTGTAGTCCAGGAGGTCTCCGACTCTTTTGACTTCTGCCAGGACCAACCTTTGGCGCACTGAGTGTGACTCCATCACCTGCACACGGAGCTGGGGGTTGTTTAGCAGTGGCTCCGCAAGGAGATCTGCCCCCACGATGGCTGCCACAGACTTGGTCGCTGAGAACAGTTTCCAGGTCCAGAGGAGGTCCTGGTAGAAGACCGGCAGACTGGAGAGGTCTCACGGAAGACCTCTCGGATGGAGATAAAGGAGCTGCTGGTCATATCGGACCCCTCGGAAGCGGCACAGGAAGGTGTGTGCCAGTACGCTCCACACTGGACTACCTGCACCATAAAGGAGCCTCTGCAGGGCTTGGAGGTGCAAGACATGGCCCTGAGTGTGTAGACACTTCAGGCCCTGCCCTCCCTTCTCCAGTGGTAGATGGAGAACCCCTGCAGAGATCTAGTGCAATCCTGACCAGAAGAACTCCAGAATCGATGTCTGGAGGTGGGCCAGGAAACATGGGGCTGGAACCAGGGTGTTGAACCGGTACCAGAGCATGGACAGGTTGATTAAGCACCAGTGCTCTCCCTCGAAGGGAGAGGCACCAGAGTAGTTCTGTCCATTTCCGGAGCCGCTCTGTCACCCTGCCCTCTAAACCGTACCAGTTCTCCGGTGGAGACAGATGGGTGGCAGAAACGCACTCCACCGGATGGCCTGAAGCGCGGGTGGAAGGGAGCTCACCTGCCACCCATCCCCTACCACCAGGCCAGAGCTCTTGACCAGTTGACCTGCGTGGAGGAGGCTGCCGAATAGATGGCTACGCCAGGTCACCCGGGTCCTGGACCACGAGGAGCACATCATCAGTGTACACCGACAGGACCAGCCGCAGCTCCGGCTCTCACAGCACCAACCCCGTCAACCTTCTATGGAGGAGACAAAGGAAGGGCTCAATTGCCAGAGTGTACACCTGGCCCCAGAGGGGGCACCCCTTCCGTATTCCTCGCCCGAAGCTGACTGGCTCGGTTAGAGTCCAGTTGAGCCTGACCAGAGACTCTGCAGAGGCGTACAGCACCTGGAGAAAACCCACAAACTGGGGTCCGAAGCCAAACACTCACAGAGTGCTCAGGAGATACCCATGGTCCACTCTGTCGAATGCCTTCTCCTGATCCAGGGACAGGAGGGCGAACGACAGACCATCCCTATACCCTAACTCCAAGAGGTCCTGGACCAGATACAGGTTGTCAAAGATGGTGCAGCCCGGGACGGTGTAGGTCTGGTCTGGGTGGCCCACATCCGCCAGCATGGACCCTAGCCACAGCGAGATGGCTTTCACTACAACTTTGTAGTCAGTGCTGAGGAGCGAGATGGGACACCAATTTTGTAAATTGCGGAGGTCCCCCTTCTTTGGCAATAAGGTGAGCACTGCTCGCATGCACGAAAGAGGGAGGACCCCGCTCTACAAGGACTCGGCCCAGACAGTAACTAGTCTGGGACGAAGACGTCCCAGAACACGCGGTAGAACTCCTCGGTCAGCCCATCCATGCCTGGAGATTTACTGGTGGGCATGCGGCGGAGGGCTTCCGAGAACTCGGCCAGAGTGAGAGGCAGCTCTAGCCGGTCTCGGTCGCCCGCGCTGACTGTAGGGAGCTCCTTCGGGAGCACTCTCCAAGCATTAAGATCGGTCGGATCTGGGGAGAAAAGGCTTGCGTAGAAGGCTCTTGCCCTCCCGCACATCTCCACCGGATCCATGAGGTGGGTGCCATCCTCTGCCAGAAGGCAGGTGACATGTTTCTTGGCCCCCCTCCTTTTCTCCAGGGCATAGAAGTGGGAGCCGCGATCCATCCCGAAGGAGGCGGATGCGGGATCGAACAAAGGCCTCCGGGCCTGATGGTCCTTGAGGGCCCGGAGCTGCTCCCGCTTCTCCCGGCACATTCCGCAGAGGGGCGGATCCTCGGGGCTGGCAGCCAGATGCCTCTCCAGCTCTAAGACCTCCCATTCCAACTGCCCTATCGCCGTATCCCTCCATCGGCTGGTGCCCCAGGTGTAGTCACGGCAGAAGAGCCAGGCGCGCACCTTCCCCAGGTCCCACCACCACCGTGCCGAGGGAAAGGCACGCCGCTGCCCCCGCCAGGCCAGCCAGAACTCCCGGAAGGACGTCACAAAGCCCACATCCTCCAACAAGCTGTTGTTGAAATGCCAGTGGGCCGCCCCCGGCCTCTCCACGCAGAGGGAGGCTGTCACTGTGGCTAAATGATGGTCAGAAAATGGGGCTGGCCGGATGCTGGAGGAGTGGGCTCGTGAAAGATGGAAACGTGATAAATAAATGCGGTCCAACCGGGAGTGGCGTGAACGATGGGCCTCCACCCAGACAAAGGTGAATGTTGAAATGTCATCTGGGTGGTGGTCGCACCAGACATCCACCAGGGAGTGCTGTTCAACTATCTCTGAGGAGTACAAATGCTATTTGGCATCAAGAGGAAGGTCCTGTGGTGAGGATAAAGAAGGTGTTGGGAGGAGGCCATGGGGAAGTAGTCCAGGGAGTTGTAGCTGTCACACAGCTGTTACAAGAAACACAGTGGACAGCTGTGATCCACAGGGCCCTGAGCTGGAACCCGGAGTAGAAGGTGGGCCCGGGTTCCCCCCCTCCCCCTCCCTCAGTAGATATAAGAGGAGTTGACTTGGATTGTGGGTCCCACCAGAGGGGAAGGTCCCTGGCCTGTGCCCCAACCCACTAGGTGGATCAGCAGAGACTGCGGGGATTGTTCTTCTTCCTTTTCCCCATGCTGGCCAGTGATGAGGCTAGCTGAGTGAACGGCAGGTTTGAGCCACTAGCAAAAGTGGCCAAACTGAGGGCTGCCGTGAATCTCTGAGGTGAGCAAATCCATCAAGGCAGAGGAGGAACTTTGTCACACTACCAATGTGAGATTTCTACAACCAGCTACAGCATTCAACCTAAGGTTTAAGAATTTGAAGTACATTCCAAAATCTGAAAGGGACAAATTGTGAAACATGCTGGCAGAAATCTTAAAAGAGCAACACTGCGATGCAGAAACTACAGAACCCAAACCACCAAAAAAGAAAATCAACCTTCTGTTGGTGGCATCTGACTCAGACGATGAAAATAAATGTGCGTCAGTCTGCACTGCTTTGGATCATTATCAAGCAGAACCTGTCATCAGCATGGAAACATCCTCTGGAATGGTGGTCAAGGCATAAAGGGGAATACAAATGTTTAGCATATCTGGCATGTAAATACCTTGCAAATCCGACTACAACAGTGCCATGTGAATGCCTGTTGTCACTTTCAGGTGACATTGTAAATAAGAAGCAGGCAGCATTATCTCCCATAAATGTAAACAAAGTTGTTTGTCTTAACGATTAGTTAAACAAGAAGGACTGGTTGGACTTGTAGGCGCTAAAGTTTTACATTTGTTTTGTTTTTGAGTACAGTTAGGTAACCAAAATATCCTACCTTTGTAAGTTGCAGTTTCACAATAAAAAGATTGTACTACAGTATTTGTATGAGGTAGGGTGACCAGATGTCCCAATAAAATAGGGACTGTCCCAATTTTTAGTTCTTTGTCCCGCGTCCCGACCGATGCACAGTCGGGACACCATTTGTCCTGATATTGTGGCTTTTGCCGCTCCGGCTTCTTTTTGTTTTTGTTTTTTTGCTTCCCCCATGTGTCCTGATATTTTGTCCATTTCATCTGGTCACCCTAGTTTGAGGTGAATTGAAAAACACTATTTCATTTGTTGATCTTTTTACAGTACAAATATTTGTAATAAAAAATAATATAAAGTGAGTACTATACACTTTGTATTCTGTGTTGTAATTGAAATCAATATATTTGAAAATGTAGGAACCATCCAAAAATGTTTAAATAAATTATATTCTATTATTGCTTAAGAGTGTGATTAAAACTGCAATTAATCAGGATTATTTTTATGTTGTGATTAATCACGATTAATTTTGTCAATAGTTTGACAGATCTAATAAGAAGTTAACATGTTGTAAGAGACTGTTCAAGATGAAGTGGGCAAGAAGGGGGGGGGGGAAGGATAGCTCAGTGGTTTGAGCATTGGCCTGCTAAACCCAGGGTTGTGAGTTCAATCCTTGAGGGGGCCATTTGGGATCTGGGGCAAAAATTAGGGATTGGTCCTGCCCTGAGCAGGGGGTTGGACTAGATGACCTCCTGAGATCCCTTCCAACCCTGGTATTCTATGATTCTAAGCCTGCCAAACAATCAGTGGGGTCCTTGAACAATCAAGGTACTAAAAGGGCACTAATGGAAAACAAGGCTGTTGTGGAGAACCTAAATTAATTCTTTGTATCAGCCTTCATTGCAGAGGATGTGAGGGAGACTCCCGCACTCAAGCCATTTTTTAGGTGAAAAATCTGAGGAACTTTCCCAGATTGAGGTGTCAATAGAGGAGGTTTTGAAACAAATTGATAAATTAAACAGTAATAAGTCACCAGGAGCAGATGGTATTCACTCACTAACTGTGATATGTAACCTATCACTTAAATCAGCCTCTGTACCAGATGACTAGAGGATAACTAATGTAATGCTGGTTTTTAAAGAAGGCTCCAAAGGTGATCCTGGAAATTCCAGTATGGCCATTCTAATGTTCTTATGTTATATGTAATGAGCCACAAATCAGTGTCTTTATTGATTCCTTGATTTTTAGTGTCTAACAAAGTTATGAATTTAAGTCCCAGGCTTGTCTTTTGAAGGTGTTGTTCAGATTTCCTTAGAGGATGAGGACTGAGAGGCCAGATATGGAGTGATCATTTTGTGAAAAGTGTTCACCCATAGGTAATCGTGTTTGTCTTTTATCATTTTTCTTTGTGAGTTCATTTGAGAGCATAGTGATGGTCTCATTTCACCCACACAGTTGTTACTTGGGCATTTGGTACACTGGATGAGGTACATAACATGTTGTGATAGGCATGTGTTGGACCCAAGGATCATGAAAGATGTGTTGGGAATGGGTATTGATCATTGTAGCAGTGAGATATGTCTGGAGGTTTTGTATCTGTTGTTATGGCAAAGTCTAGTGCCACTTTGAGTTGGCGGGCTTGTGAGGAGCTTGTTTCTGATAATGAGCTTGGAGAGATTTTGGGGTTTGAAGGCCAGAAAAGGGAGTTTGGGAAAGATTTATTTCAGGATGGGATCCTCATTAAGTATGGGTTGTAGTTGTTTAATGATACCACGTATGGATTCCAGTGTGGGGTGGTTGGTGACAACTAGGGGTGTGCAGTTGGAGCATTTTTTTCTATATTGAAACATGTTTATCTCAGGGTATTTGGTGGCCCGTTCCATAATGCAATCTACTTCTCTGGTGGAGTGACCTTGTTTGGTGAAGGCTGATTTAAGTGTATTAAGGGGTGTATCTCATATTTTCTCCTTGGAGCATATTCTGTGATCTCAGATGGGCTGGCTGTAGATAGCAGATTTCTTTGTGTGTTTGGGATCGTTACTGGATCTGTGAAGGTAACTGTGGTGATTGGAGGGTTTCTTGTGTATATAGTTGTCTATAGGCTTTCATTGTTGAAGGTGTGACACTCTGAGCAGCTTTCCCAGACCTGAAGAAGAGCTCTGTGTAAGTTTGAAAGCTTCTCTTTTTCACCAACTGAAGTTGGTCCAATAAAAGATATTACCTCACCCACCTTGTCTCTCTTGTATTTTTGAGGCATCCATACCCTTTTAAATTTTTTAAAAAATGTTGCTACTATGTAACTGCAAGACTAAAATTTCCTTTTTTTAAAAAATAGCATTTTCAGAAGTAACACACTACATAAGAACATACGAATGGCCATATTGGGTCAGACCAAAGGTCCATCCAGTATCCTGTCTACCAACAGTGGCTAATGCCAGGTGCCCCAGAGGGAGTGAACCTAATAGGTAATGATCAGTGATGGCTCTCCTGCCATCCATCTCCACCCTCTGACAAACAGAGGCTAGAGATACCATTCCTTACCCATCCAACCCACCCTTACCCATCCCATTCCTTACTGCATCTATTATCTATCTGGAGAGAAATATTTTGGAACAAGCCAACATTCAATGAAAGGATAGAAAGCCTTTAAGTTATGTTTAAATAGTAGCTACTTTAGGAACCTATTACCTCCCACTTTGTCTTAGTCCAGCACCTGGTCCCCCTTTCTCTTCCAGAGAGAGAAACCCGCCAAACACCATATGGTCACACAGCTACAGTGTTTCTTCATTTTCTATGATGTGACCAAAAGAAGTGAAAACAGAAAGTCATCTAAATAAACTTAACAAATTATAAACTCTTTACTTACTAGTGTTTTGGTCTTGAGGCAGGAGTGCTGAAAGAGTGTGTTCTAGCTGTGCACCCTTACTACTTAATGGTTGTCTTTCTGGCAGGAGTCTTTTTTTCTCTAAATGTGCCATTTTGCTGCCTATGGGTTGCCCAATGGAAAGAAAATATTTATAGATATTTAAGCAACTGCAGTTACAAACACCAAAACATTTAACACTGAGAAATGATTAAAGCACATGCTCAGTAGCTAACTTTTAGAAAATATTATTATCAGGGGATCATCTCAAGCACAAAGGGAGTCAGAGTGAAAAAACATAAAAAAATGCAAAAATATAAAGGGCAAAAGTTTTAAGCAATTTAAAAATAAAAAAATATAAAAACAATAAAGAGCAAAGTTAAATTTTAAAAAGGCAAGGTTTTTTTTAATGAATACATAGACATCATTTTTGAATTTTCTTCTAGAAGTTAGATGGTGGTTTATCACCCTTTTAGAACAAGTGACTGATCCTCCTTTCAGCTTCCCCACTCATGGGATACATAGTACTGGATTATGGTTCAGGATAGGTTGCTGTTGCATTATGTTTTGCATTTGTATGTGTGTTTAGAGTTTGAGAGGATGTTCCAGTTTAAATCTGGTCTGAGAACCAAGACACAAGGGCTAATAATAAGGTTATTATAATCACTCTGGCCTGGTTTTAAAATCTTCTTTACCATCTTTAGTCTCAGTGGCTAGGGGGCCAAAGACAAAAAAAGGAGACCTTTTAGCACACTTTTTTGATAAAGGGACCAAAGTCTCTGCTTTCAAGTGCCTTTTCCTCCCATAATACTTCTTGGTTTTCCAGATGGACTTGGATGCAAATAAGTTAATCAATAGGCTTCCATCCTGGCCTGTGATGCGCTGAAAGACTAACGTCTCTAGACTGGATTCCCTCAGTTCCAAGTGTGTCCTGCTGAGCCAGCTGACCCTGATTTTCCTTCTTGGTGTAGAATCCTGAAGAACAGACAAGAGTTTTTGCCCAGGATATGAACAAAGCTATTTCTCTAAGCAGTGCTGAAAGTTATCTACCTTCTTAATTGTTATATTCACAACATGTTTCTGAAGAATCATCTGCTGGAATTGGAAAAGTGAATTTGTTGATCCATAGCAGGAGACAGGCTACACACCATGTCTCTTCCTTGGGCTGCATGCCCCTCCTCCCTGAGTCCAGATATGTTCCCCCTATATAGAGTCTGGTATCTGTACTGATTACTTAATTTTGGGCAAACCAAACACTATCTTCTTCTGTCACTCTTCTGAAATAAAGATGGTCTTGGATGATAACTTAGATACCAGAGTTACGTGAGGGCTGTAATTGACACTTCCACTTGTTTTGTTGAAGCTATAATTCTGAAGTCCTTTAACAATGGCTGCTGAGTTGTGTTAGAAGGTGAGAAGGTTGCCAGGCAAGGGCAGATGGGTATCCTGTTTACTTGAAGAAAGGACTGATATGTCATTTGTGAATACTCACTTTGAAGTTACAATTCCAAGTGGGAATACTCTGTATTGAAAATATTTCTGTCGCAGAAGCTGAATTATCTCTGGATGACGGTCCCTGATCATATTTTCCACAGATCTCCAGCAGAAGTTTTGGGAAGATAATATTGTAATGATAGATTTCAGTATTTCCACCTCAAATATTGATCTCCTTATGGACTTGTTCAGAGACTTAAGATCTAAAATGGGTTTCATGTGATTATTTCTCTTTTCACCACAAAGAATCTTGTCCCTTTTCCAAAATATTTATCTATCAAGGAACTGGTTTGATCATTCCAATGTGTAAGAGATGGACTATTTCACCTTTCATCGTCTGATGTTATGAAGATCTTGTTGATAGTGTTGATTTATTTTAATTCACTTTGGGAAAAGGCTAAATTTGTCCCTGGGACAATGAGTGAATTCTATTGAATATCCATCCCTGATTCTTTCAAGACCCCATTTTCTGAAGTCGTTCACTCCCAGATGATGGCGCAGCCTGAAGTGTCTGTCAGAGAACATGGGGATCTCCCCAGACTTGTGAAATCCGAAATCAAGAGAAGCCTTTGAAACTGTTTAGTTTCAGGCCTCCACGGGGCTGCATCCAGGAACTGTGGGGGGCAGTAGCAGGTTTGGGGGGCAGAGGAAAAACCACCATCCCCAGCATCAGCTGGCAGAGTGGAGTGGTTTGGGGTCAGGTCACTCCACTTTCTGCTGTCCAGTGATTGCAGAGCGGGCCCAACACTGCACTCATGGGGCAGTGGGAAGTGGAGTGATCCAGCCCCAAACTGCTCCGCTCTGCTCCCCTGGCTCCCAGACTTGTGCGGTATGGGGGAACCACCCCCCACCACTCACTGGCAGCGCAAAGTGGCTGGAACCAGGTCGTTCCACTACCCGCCGCTCGGTGAGTGCAGTCCCCCAGGATGTAGCTCAGGGGAAGGAGTGGAGTGAGGGCGGGGCTGGGGTGGAGCAGGGGTGGGAAGAGGTGGGGCGGGGGTGGAGTGGGGGCTTTGGGGCAGGGGCAGAGCAGGGGTGGGGGCAGCTTTCCTGGACGGCTCAGCTGGCTGGGGGATCGGGCTGGCTGCTGGAGCAGCATTTGGTGCCCCAAATTTGGCGCGATTTGGTGCCCCAAATTTCCTGGTGCCCTGCGCAGATGCATAGTTTGCATATGGGTAAGGATGGGCCTGGGAGGGAGAGAGATATTCCCTGGCCTAAAGCCTCAATTCCTGCTTTGTCTCTATGCTGCCCAAAAAGCTTAGCAAAAAAATATTTGGAAGGTTATCAGATATCTGGAAGGTTAGCCTGCAATTCTAACTTCTTCAAGTGTAGCCATAGTTGCCCTCTAGACACATCTTTGAAAGTTTTGACTGTACACCAAATCAGTCAGCATCAGTCCCAAAAAAACTGCTAGGAAAATCTAGTTCAAGCAGATTTTATGTAGGAATTGTTTTGTTTTGCATTCTAATAATTGTATCCCATACTGCAGCCAGTACTCTCAGTGCTGAGACTGTTCTATCCAAGTTGAATCAAACTGATGTTATTCTCCTGTCTGGGTTTGACAGAAATACTACTTAAGCTAGTAGGAGTATGCACTTTACTAAGGAGGCTGCAGCAGCCTAAACCTTAGGCAGAATAACCCATCTAGTCCTTCGGGTGGAGATAATCTTACTCCACATTAATTACACCTTCATAAACTAGACGAGGAAGAATTACACAATTACACAATTCTCGTTTAATGAAAATGAAGGATTTATTTGAACATTAAGTAACAACTGCAGCACACACAGATAGGATTTAACTTCCTCCTAGCCCCTCCCAACCAAGACAACAACATAATGTGGTTTGAGCATTGGCCTGCTAAACCCAGGGTTGTGAGTTCAATCCTTGAGGGGACCATTTAGGAGCTGCAGCAAAAATTGGGGATTGGTCCTGTTTTGAGCAGGGGGGTGGACTAGATGACCTCCTGAGGTCCCTTCCAACCCTGATATAATATGATAGCATCAAAATGTAAGAATGTAATACTAAGATAAAGATATAGCACCACCTACTGGTGGAGGTGCTCGCTGCACTGATCATTATACAACTCTTCTTCAACTTTGCAGGAAGTGAGAGACTAGTTTTTCATTTTCTAAAAACATAAGCACCTGTGAAGTTAGACCTCATTTGTGCTTAGTTCTGGGAAGCTTAGCTGAGAGCATTAGGTATCTCCCAATTTTAGAGATTTCTCCTTCTCTTTAAAGGATCTAGAGGAGAGACTCTCTCATGAGAAGTTTTAAGACTTTTGCTGCCCTTTTAAAAGCTGATGCTGAGCAATATCCTTCACCAATTCCTGGGCTAAACCCCTGAGAGAAAGAAGGGAGGAACCCGGAGAGGGGGTGAGCAGGGAGACTGACAAGAAGTCTGCAGGTACATGTTCTGCATATCTCCCTGAGAAAAAAAATAGTTACTAATCTTTCTGTAACTTTTGTTCTTCACAATGTGTTGAACATGTCCATTCCATTATACGTGTATGTTTGCTCCAGTGCACAGCCCTTAGAGAGTTTTTCCCTTAGCAGTACCAATCAGGGCAGCATGAGCACCCTCTGCTGCCTCACACACTGCATGCAAGCATAAAGAGCCATCCCTGAACCACTCTCAGTTGCTTCCTACCAGAAAGATTCAGCTAAAGAAGGGAGGGAGGGTAAGTAATGGAACAGACATGTGCAACACATCTCAAAGGACACCAGTTACAGGAAGTTTAATAACCATTTTTTCTTCTTTGAGTGATTGCATATGTCCAGTCCACTGTAGGTGACTCACAAGTAGTCCAAAATGGAGGTAGGCTCAGAGTCTATTTGACCAGGGTTAGAGGACTACTTGTCCAAATTTAGCATCATCTCTAGACAGTTGAGAGATAATGTAGTAAGAGGCAAAAGTATGACATGATGACCAGATTGTCACTTGGCGAATGTCAAATATGGGAATGTGAGCCAGAAAGGCCACAGAGGTTGCTTGGGATCCAGTCAAATGACCAAATGTTCTATCCAGAGGCTTCACGTTAGCCAATTGGTAACATAATCAAATACAACTGGATATCCAACACAAGATTCTTTGAGTGGATATGAGCCAGCCCTTCATTCTGCCTGCAAATATAATGAACAGTTGTGATGAAGACCTAAAAGGTTTAGTCTGTTCTACATAAAAAGCTATTCTAACATCTAGAGTATGAAACCTCTCCTCATCTTTATGACTGTCATAAATATAAATGGAAGGGTAACCACCTTTCTGTATAGAGTGCTATAAAATCCCTCCTGGCCAGAAGCAAAATCCTTTCACCTGTAAAGAGTTAAGAAGCTAAGGTAACCTCGCTGGCACCTCTTGGGCATAGCTAGGTTAAAAACAGAGAGGCTAAGATGACAAAAAGCAATGCCCAACAGAAACTGAAGATAGCCAGACTGGAAGCACAAGAGAAAGAAAAGGAACACTGGAGACTGGTCGAATTAAAACGACTTGATAAGAAGGCAGCGAAAGAGGCAGAGAAAGTCCAGGAGGCTGCCCCCCAGAGAGCTATGGAGGCAGAGAAAGCCCAGGAGGCTGCCCACAAGAGAGCTATGGAGGCAAAAGAAAAAGAAATGGAGGCAAAGGAA